AGTGCATTGTTGTAGAATAATTAGGGCCTTCTTTGTTTATATAGAAACATTTCCGATGGTGTGATTAAAGGTAGTTTGCCTAATAAAATTCGGCTGTGACTAAAAAAAGGATTGGAGCACCACACTAAATACCGTATTCCGGTATATACCGGACAAGGCGCTTGAATGATAAAATGCTAAAATCTTGTCTTTTTACCCAACGGAATGAACTTTAACAGGTCTAAATCATCTTTTCACACCGAATCAAGTACGATAAACAAGGAAAAATGTAAAATTCGGCGAAAAAAACGATATTTGTCTATTTTGTGATCATGATTTCTGCAAGCGTCTAGAGGTACTGCTCCAATCCTGTATTGAGCTAAATCCATAAAATTCGGCTCACCCAATAAATTCCTCCGCCTCGCCAGATAAACTTTCTCCATCCACGGCACCAACCTATTATTCTCTATATCTAACATCTTCAGTCATTCGCACCCTAAACATTTTTTTCGTTCCAATTAATTACTTATTGTTTATTGTTGCAGATTACTTTCGTATGATGGCTTTCAATTTTGCAGCATGAAAAAACCGAAATCACATGCTGGTAAATGTTTCCTTGTGTTTTTTTCTTTGCATATGACTGTTCTTTGAAATGAGCACATTTATTGTTATTTAAGTGTTTTTAAGTTTGTTGTTAAAAGTCCATTACGTCCCAAAAATGTTATAATTCTTATTTCCAAAGTTTTATTAGTTTTGTTGTCCCGTCATCCTTTCATGGCAAAATATTTGACCTATCTTTAGCTTCTATAATCCATTCGGCAGCTGTAAGTGCACTTATATTGATTAAGTATTTTGTATGGACGACGTCAGTATAAAACTTTATTTACATCTGCTATTTTAATAACAAATATTTTCGATTAAAGCGTTTTTCAATACGGGTGATAAGCATCTAGCAGGCTCTTAAATCATTATTCAAACGTTATAAAACTTATGTTTGCTCTTTTCTGAAGAAAGAAAAAAAAACTCATTTCTGAAACACGTTTGAATTCTGATTTAATGTAAGTATCAAAATGTTATAGAATAAAACAATGCTATTTAGATAGAAATGATTATCTAAAAGGTTGTGAAGACTTATGCTTTATCTGAAGTTTACGTGGGTGTCAAATACCTATTTAGAATGACAATAAATAATAAACAATAATTTCTGAAGGACAATACTTTCAACGCTGAACATGTCATGCTTATATTCAAGGCTAAACATGACATATTATTCAATTCTCTCTATAGTAGAACAAAATGCGTGTAGAGAGTAATAACTATATTTATTTTACTAATTATACTAATAATTTAAAGTCCCGATAATTGATGTTAAACAGGAAGAGGTATAGTTAATCATAGTTTTATAAAATATAACTGTTTTATTTATTCCTTCAGTGAGGAACACTTATCCGCACATTTGATTTGTTTTCATTGTTCTAGAAGGATGTCTCACTTTCCAGATTGGTGTATTTTTTATAAGCAAAACATGATACTGTTAAAGTGTCCTTGTGATTTTGAACTGTGTGACTTCTTAAAATGTATAGAATATATATATATTCACAAGTCTCTCGATATGTTTAAATTATGGTAAGATCGCTTGTAAGCCCAACGTGGCCGCTGCAGGATGTTATCATTTCACAGTCTTGGTGCATGTCACAATGTCATTATAGAGATAATATCCTATAAATTATTGTTATAAGTTTGATTTTTTTCATGTTGAAAATTATTATTTTAATGAAATTAGTTTGAACGTAATGTTTTGTAAATGGTTAAATTTGAAAGCAATGTCTGCTTCTCTAATACTATACATTATATACGCGTATTAATTTTTGTTTCTCAAACTTGATATTTCTAATCAAATCATATCACGATAGGGAAAAATATTTCCTTTGATAAGGTCATACACCTCTTCAAATCTAGAAAAGGCATACGCCAGCTGTTCTTCCCTTAAACTGGCCGACATTTAATTTGCTCTCTCTGATTTACTGATTTAATCATTTCCCATTTAATGTCTATACGTTTATTCATGTGTATAAATATTTTGAAGAAATAAAAAAGAAAATTAACAAAACAGTGTAGATTGTGATTTTCCATGTATTGTCTGTTCTTCAAATTAAGGGAGAAGAGGATCTTATAAGAGTGTCTTTCCCTATTTTCTAACAAGTTGAAATGATAAAACCAAGGCTGTGAATTATCCCCTCCTGCAAATATTGTAGTTTATTATTACATCTTTATTTCTTATAAGATTTACTTCAACTTTCAAATAAATGTCTTCTATCATCACCCATAATATATCATGTAATAAGGATAATAAAATTACCGCCAATATTGCAAGAGGTATTTCCTCTTGAACATGAGACGTAAACTTAAAAATTGTTAAAAAGTTTATGTGCATAAGTCTGTCCAGGAACATCGGTGTAATCATACTTTGGATTAGAAGCTCTAAAATAGCCGGCAAACGGCACTGACTCTGAATTCGTTGTCCTGAAATGGATGCTTATTTCTGCTTGTACCTGTTCTGATTTGGTAATGTGTTGAAGACGGATTTTTACATCTTGACGCGTTGTTATTATTCAATGCTCGGCAGTTCTTGGTTGGTCGTTGACGTATGATGTAGCCGATGAAACTGGGCAAAATTTAAATGGTTTACAACGTGTAGGTACGTACAATGGCCTTTATCAGTTCTTATCAACAACTATACCAGTAAATATGTGTCGGTATAAAAACATAATTGACGGACGGTAGGTATAATAGAAAAATACTATTTTTCTATTTTTAACATATCCCAAATAAGGGATATTGCGCGTATTCATTATTCCTCATGAACAGACTTACAACTTATAACTTTTTCCTATTTCCGAGGCTCTAAAAACACAACAAAACAAAAACACTTTGCTGGAAGAAAAATATCAAACGAGAAAAAATCTCGGTTCGGCTATTTTCCAGTGTCTGAATAGTATACATCGAAAATATTATGAAAACGCATTTTAAAATTTGATTAAAAGATTAAAACTTTGGGTAACATATGGTGGTGAGTATTTTGAAGGATTGATATAATTATTTTGGCACTTCTGAAATTGACGCAGTTGCATTCATAATTGAACACCCCTCGTAACAGAGGTTTTCTTTATTTTGTTGCATCGGTTTAATATTCATTTTAATAGTTGTCTTTATTTCTTATTTTGTATATAATCCTTCTAAGGTATTAAACATACAAATATTATAGTTAGTGTCAATAACATATTGATATATACTTATGTTAAAGAATATTTGTTAGCCTTACAGAAAATTAAGATGAAATCGATCTAATTGAAGAAGAATACTTTTTTTATTAAGACTGCGATCAATAAAAGTGAGCGTTATTTACGCATATCATTCTAATGAAAAAAGATCAGTCAAGAAATACGTTATATATTTACCAGACTTACTAATGAACTTAAGACTTTAAGAAAGCTATTAAACATTTCCACAGATAACGAAGTATATAAAGAGCAACTGTTGCTTAAACACCAGAAATCGGTATGTTTCACAATCTTTATATTTCTTTACAACGGATAATTTGTATTGATGTATCTGCTTTATCATCATACAAAACTAAGGCCTCGACAGACAGTAGATTTTGAAGTACAACACCAATTAAATCTTGTGCAAGAAAGTCTTTATGTGTGAAGGGTACTATTTCTTGATTTTTTACAACTTAATATAGGACATGTTCTCTTTTGTAATTCTTAATGTACATATCTCCCATGATGACAGGTGACAGATCTCCCAATTATCCATTGATAATTTGTTTAATGAATGAAATTCCAGAGCAATTAGGGCTTAAATATAATCATAGTAGTACGATGGGATATGCGATAGTGAAAAACTCTTCGGGGAGCACTTAAGTTTTCCTAAATTACTCAAAAAATGATTATAGACTAATTCAGTTTTAAAAAATGTAGGAGTTTCCATCATTTATGAAATAAAAAAAAATTTCACCGTGATTCCAAAAAGCAGAATCGGCTTTCGGATGTTCAGTTATTCCAGCCGCGGCCTACAGCAACAATTATAATATTTACACATATTCCAGTTATAATAGTGAATTAATTCTTCAAATGATCAATTCGGCGGAATTTGTTTTGGAGGGAAACCTGGTGATTCATACAATATAGAATTACGGTCTGAATGCAAACATTGTATTACTATGAAAGTTCAAATTGTACATCATATTTTAAACTAGTGTTGTACAATTAAATCCTACTATCTGTTGAAGCCTTTACCGAACTATTGCGCATGTAAAATAATGTAATATTTAGGAAATATGTATAAATTTTGAGTGCATTGTTGTAGTAGATGCATGTTTTGAGTTCAAACGCGCAGCAATATGCATGTAATCAGGAAAGCTGATAGGCTTGAGTGATATTCTAACATGATAATAAGAAAAATTAATTAAAAAAAATATGATGAACTACAATGAGCGAAGAATTAATTTTCCATTTGGTTTATTGACGTCATATGTAATATGACTTGTAAGTGCGCATATATCGTGTAATATGACGTACTTGATTACCCTCTCTGTTTGATATGGGAACACTGTGAGGCGTATAAGAATTAAAAACAACATTTTATATTATAAGTGTAACATTTAATTCAAACTATCTGATTCATCTATGAATGTTTTAATGAAAATTGGTTTGAGCGTTGAAAGATTGTATTCAAACTTTCTTTATTTCTGGCCCGACATGAAATTTTTCAATGAAAGAATTCATTTGATGTGAACTGATTACATAAGTCAGTGATAAAACAGGTAATGATACAAACGCCGGGTAGTAAAATACAAGGCACATGAATGCACTTTGTTTTCAGTATAAAATATTCCCTAATTGAAACGACAAAATAACAATGTTGCTGTTTATATAAATATATTTTATTTATTTGTCTAAGACACCAGTTGGTAATTTCAAAATATTCTTTTTTTTTATGTTAAATCAAGTGTTCATGTTGCAGATGCTCTATATCTTGTAGCATAAAGTCTCTCCATTTATACAATTTCCAAATAATAGAGATTTTCAAAGCTGTTGAATGTTTTCATATCTTCTTGTATTGAAATTATTTTAATAGGTTAAAATAATATTTCTAAAGAAATCCTAAAACTGTCAAATATTAAGGCAATGCAAACTACATGGTAATGGAAACGTCAAAGAAAATATTAATATCTTTTTAAAATAAAGTAGAGATAAAAGAAAAACGTTACACGATTTAAACCAGAAACTTATTACATACAACTCTGTCTTGTTCTTATAGGCATCAGAATTTAACGCGAACATTGATTACTGTTTGAGATAAAAAAAAATGAATGCGTCCTCACTGAAACAAATTTATAATTTTGAAGAAGACTTTGAAAAACATCTGCACCAGTACTTTTATTTTGGCGTATTTATATCAAATTATATGTTGATCTTCAAATATTTTTAAACATTGGGATTAGATTTTTTATATCCATTTAATCAACATGAAACAATGCATGGTCGTTTGCACGTTTCCTGCAGTTTTGTAAATCAAAATTTTGTTGCGCGAGGACATACACGATAACCAATCAAGCGACACCAATCACGAGACGGGGGAGTAATTGCAGATTTCCTTTTAGATAGAACAGGACGAAAATTATGTCGTTGTTGCTGTTGACTGTTACTGTGTTTGTATTTCCTTCTTAACGTATTGTATCGACGATGATGCAAAGCCGGGAAAAATCCAGAATACATGGGAACAAAGGGCATCTCTGACGGAGACATATCAAAAGGTAATTGTGCTCCCCTGAGGTGATTAAAGAGCGAATACCTCTTTTTCATGGGCGTTCTTTCTTTATCCTCCAACGAATTATCTGATAGAATGCTTCCTACGTCAGACAAAATCTGCTTAAATAGCATAAGCCGATTTTCTGAAAATATATACGATGTATGTATACGTTAAACATATTATATGAAATCTTTTCTGTGAATCACAAATGATCATTCTTATAAAAATAAGTGCCCCTTATATGAAAAATGATAATGTATAGCTATATTGCGCAAACTTTCTCTTCTTTTACAAAATATCTTCAAAAACCCATTTGAACTGCTAACAATTTTAAGTAGTATTCCTGTATAGACATATATAGAGAATGAAAACTGTGCTATAAAATTTATCATTTTTTTCCATGATCAACAAACGAAATAAAGTCAGAGGGTCACCAATCTTGTTTCCAAGTTATCTGCTTTTTAAATTAAATTATTTTTTTCTGCTTTTCATGTATCTTACTTCCTTTTAAGTAATTATGTAAAATTTCAAGGATCCGTAAATATGTACATGCTAGTTGAAATAAATCCTATTATGCAGTTTTCATTCTGCTCACATGTGTGTGTGTGTGTGTGTGTGTGTGTGTGTGTGTGTGTGTGTGTGTGTGTGTGTGTGAAAACTAGCTTTAGAAAAAAGAGAAAATAAGAATCCTTAAAGAAAACCTAACACGGCAAAATTGAAAATGTTGCAGGGTCAGTTTGATTGAACCTGTTAATGGACGGTACTGTCAAGTGCAAACTACCGTCCACGCCCCCTAGCACCGGCTTAAGCAGAATTCAAAATTTATACATGAAATGGTAAAATTTTGAATTTAGAAAGATCCGCAGATACGGCGGTTATCATGAAACCTTCAATGTGACACAGTAGTGTCATTCCATGAAAAGCGGCGTATGGTCCCCAAGTAATAAGAAGCGTGTGCCCTGAACGAGAAAACAATGGGTGGTAGTAAACAAAATGGAATTTTGAAAGGGGATCAGAGGTTATGAAGCCTGCATATCACAGATGAGACGTCAAAAGACAAAGTTAAAAAGCAGGCAACATATCCTTGGGGTGATTTAACATTATTCAGGTAGGAATATTGGTACCACCCAACTAGAAAATGCAAAAAGTTAAAACTAAAAATATCAGAAACACAACAATAATGTCGTGCTGAACGATCTATAAGGATCGGAAATATAACATCTCTGATTGAATGTACGGGGCGACTGTTTACAGCCTCCACACGGCACAAACAACGCTGATATGGCAATGAAATAGAAAATAAGAATCCCTAAAGAATCCCAACACGTCGAAATTGAAAATGTTGCAGGCTCGGTTTGATTGAGCCTGTTCATGGACGGTACTGTCAAGTCGGTAAAGGGACTATCTCTAAATGCTACATATTTTCTTTGACCTTTTGTAGAAGATTTAGGTAGTCCTGTCTCAATATTGTCCTACACTTGCTTTTAACAATATAAAACAATCATGAAGTTTCTGTACCAGAATATAAATAAGTAGGAAACAGTTATAAAAAGCCGCTTTAAATATATGACATATAGTCATCTACATGTTTTATTTGTCAATGAATAAATGTGTTACGCTTCCTATAAATTTTCTAATACCTTAACGATATCGCATTTTGATTTTGGTTAATCAATCTGAATATGTGAAACTCATTGCAACACGAAAGTAGAATCTATAACCTTTCTTTGTTTGTTTGGTTTTTGTTTTATGGCAAACAAATGCAGTTTAGGTCATATGGCGCCAAAAAAGGCTAACCTCGGGTTCTATAAACTTTTAGTAACACCAGGGGTTAAAACCACCTGACCTGCTGAAACTAAGAAATACAAAGACTCCAATTATTCAAACCCATTTAGATATCGCATTTTTAACGTTGGCTGCAATTCTGATGTATCACCCCATAAGGGAATCCCATTCAGTCTTTAGGGTAGAGGGACAAATTTGTTATAGTTTATGAAAGTGTCTTGTACTTTCATGTTTGCTATTAAACGTCTATGCAGACAAATTAAAAATAAAACATTAACTAGAAATGTGTCCATAGGAGACTTATGCTACCCTTCACTTGCCTTTTAATGTGGCAGAAGTACATACCTGTGCTTAGTTCATACAGTTTCAGTTGTTCTATATTACATGTTTAGTTAGTATCAAACGTTTGACTGAGAAAACTCTAATTATTACAAGGCAAAGGATTTCATGTTCAGTATCACTGTGACCTTGACCTTATTATCCCAAAGCCAAAAAGGTCATATAATATCCTTAACAAGTTTAACATAGACATTTTCTTTCTCAAAGTATCATCTGACAAGGATTTTACACGAAGTGTCACTGTGTCCTTAACGTTTGACCTAGTGACCTCAAAATATATAAAGGTCATCTACAGACCATGGACAATATCTCTACCGAGTTTAACAAAAATATAGCTTCCCTTTTTAAAATATTAATGGAAATGTGTTTTAGCAGTTATTGTATAGACATACGCATGTAAAGAAGGACTGACTCGCTGCAACACAGTGTGCTCGTTATGAAGCAGTTTGAAATTTCTCGGAAGTGAAACGCCTGACATTTATTACTAA